GGCGACAGGGGGACCCTTGTTCAAAAAAACCAAAAAAAAAAAAAAAAACCACACAAAAAAAAGAACAGGAAAGCCAAGGGCATGGCTTTAGTGGGGTGGGGGTGGGGGTGGAGATGGAGAGTGGGAGAGGAGAAGAAAAAGGAGACAAACCAGATGTTAGGTGGTCTTCTTTATCTTTGAAGAATCTCACCATTGACTTCTGTCATCCCTTCCCTCACTATTTGACACCCAAACTAAATCCGGCAGGCTGCAGTAGCTGAATGCTTTCTCTTAGGCAGAAGATAGCTAAGTCCTTAGTGACCACAGCTACAACCAGGAGAACCACTGTAAAACTCTCATTCTCTACTGTTATTTCTGGTCTGTTTCCCTTTTTCTTTTCAAGACAGGGTCTCTTTATATAGCCCAGGCTAGCCTTGAACTCACTATGTAGGTCAGCCTGATCTTGAACTGGCCTCCCAAGTGCTGGGATTACAAGTATGTGCCACTGTGCCCAGTTGTTTATTTTTATTTTTTTGGTCTTTTTGAGACAGGGTCTCCCTGTAGCCCCAGCTGGCCTGGAACTTACTATGTAGACCAGGCTAGCCTTGAACTCACAGAGATCCACCACCCCCGGCTTCCCGCTTCTTTTTTTTTTTTTTTTTTTTTTTTTTTGTCTTTTTTTGAGACAGGATCTCCCAGTAGCCCCAGTTGGCCTTGAACTCACTGTGTAGACCAGGCTGGCCCTGAACTCACAGATCACCTGCCTCCACCTCCCAAGTGCTGGAATTAAAGGCGTGTACCACCATGCCTGGCTTCAGCTTCTTTTTTTTGAGATAGGGTCTAAAGATGACCCTGTGTATTGCCTGCATATGTGTAAGTGCACCCATGTCGTGCACTGCCCACAGAGGTCAGAAAAAGATGTCAGATCCCCTGGAACTAGAGCTACAGGTGATTGTTAACCACCATGTGGGTGCTGGGAATAGAACTGGGGTCCTCTGCAAGAGCAGTCAGTACTCTTAACTAGCCCCCTGAATTCTTAATTGAATTTGATTGTAATTACTCTGGATATAAATAGAAACGTGCTTGGTGGGTGGGTACTACATTGGACAAGGCAGATCTAGAGCCTACAGTTGACATAATAGTGTGTCTCGTATTTTAACTTATGTGTAGTGATGTTTTCATGGAATTCTGCAAAGAGCACCTTGATCTTCTTCTAGTCAATTGTTTAAATAAATTTTAGAATCTTTGCTTTAGGGAAAAATCTCTAAAACAGTGTTTATAGAGAACTATCCATAGATTATTATTATCATTATTGTTTGTTTGTGTGTGTGACGTATACATGCACGTGGCAGTCAGAGGACAATTCTATGAAGTCATTTCTCTCCTTCCACCTTTACATGAGTTCTGGGTCTCAGACTCAGGTCACCAGGTTGGCCTGGCAAGTGCCTTTACCCCCTGAGTCATCATGCCATCCCTGAGTCTAGTGTTCATCTATGAGAAAAAAATGCTTTAAGAAGATGAAGTCTTGGACTGGCAAGATGACTCAGCTGATAAAGGAGCCTGCTACCAGGTCTGATGACCCAAGTCCAATCCCTGAAACCCACATGGTGCAAAAAGACAGCCAGCTCCCCTAAGTTGTCCTCTGTACTTGCACACTGTGGCAAGTAAGCAAAATGTTCTAAAAAAGGAAAGAAAAGAAAGAAAATGAAGTCTTGTTCTGTGAAAATACGTGTTTTAAGCCAACATTGCATAAAGAATGATCTCCTTCCTTCCTTCATCCTCCCCTCCCCCCGCCCTTGTTCTTTCTTCTGTTTCCTTCCGGAGCTAGGGATTGAACATAGGATCTCAGGCGTGCTAAGGACAAACTCATCACTATGCTGTATCCCCAACCCTATCGTTAATATTATTTATTTTTTATTGTGTGTGTGTATTTGCACACATGTGCTTGGGCATGCCATGACCCATGTGTGGAGGTCAGAAAGGCAGCTAGCAGGTATTGGTTCTCTTTCTACCCTGTGGGTCCTGGGGATTGAACTCAGGCCATCAGGCTTGGTGGCAAGCGCCTTTATGCACTGAGCCTGAGCCATTTCACCAGCCCTGCCCCATCATATATTTATAATTGGAAAAATGACTCACCATTAGTATGGTATCAGGTTGATAACTGAGTGATTTTGTGTGCGTGTTACTGGGGATTGAACCTACTTTGTTACATGTGGGAGGCAAGTAAGTGCTCTACCACAGAGCTCTAGCCTCAGCTTTTTTTTTTTTTTTTCTTTTTTTAATATAATTTTTTAAAAAATATTTTATTTTTTAATTCCATGTGTATGAGTGTATTGTCTGCATGTATGTGAATGCACCCGTGTTGTGCAGTGCCGCAGAGGACAGAAGAGGGCTTCAAATTCCCCTGGAACTGGAGTTAAGGACGGTTCGTAGCCGCCATGGTGGTGCTGGGAATCGAACCAGGGTCCTCTGCAAGAGCAGTCTGTGCTCTTAACCACTGAGCCATCTCTCTAGCCCCTTTAATTTACTTTCTATCTTGAGATAGTCTCACTAAGTTTTGAAGCTTATTCTTGAACTCATGCTGTAGCTCATGTAGGCCTTGAACTTTTGATCCTCCTGCTTTAGCCTCTGAGTAGCTAGAATTATAGACTTCCATTACCACACCCTATAAGTGAAATAATTTTTGTTAAGTAGTGTTGACCAGGGCCACCTGCTGACATGTTTGAAGAGCCAGCCCTCAGGTTTGCAGACTCTGTTCTGAAAACTGCTGTTCTCTAGTGGAAGTGGAAAGGCCATGGCAGGAGGTGTTGCACATTTGTAGGAATCCGGCCCAGCTTCCCCACCCATTCTCCAGTCTCTTGCACATTCTGGCATCACTGACCACCCCAGTGCCTATGTGGAAGGGAGGGGAGAGTACAAGAGACCCTCACATCCTCTCAACCATCCCTTCCTGCCTGCAGGAGTCAGGCCTCATCCGGCTCCTGCGTCGGGAGATTGAAGCAGTTTTCAGGGACAACCGAATGATAGCTGTCTGCCAGAATGTGGCCATGAGTGCAGAGGACAAGCTTCTTATGCGCCACCAGCTGCGGAAACACAAGATCTTGGTGAAGGTCTTCCCCAACCAGGTAGGCTCACCCTACCCCCAAGCCTGTCTTCATCCCATGCTGAATGGACCCAGGCTCTGTTCCTTCTGAAGGGTACTTCTGACTGCTTTCCTAGTCAGCCCAGACAAGCTGCCCTAGTTTAGTGCCTAAACTGGGTAGGAGCTTAGGGGACCCTTGGGTTGTACCTTCAGCCTGATGCAGCCTGTGACCAAGGTGTGTGGCTTTTCCCTCCTCTTGGCCCCCATCAGCCATTCTTTCCTGCCATCCCAGGTCCTGAAGCCTTTTCTAGAGGATTCTAAGTACCAAAACCTGCTGCCCCTTTTTGTGGGGCACAACCTGCTGCTGGTCAGTGAAGAACCCAAAGTCAAGGAAATGGTGCGGATCTTAAAGGGTGTGCCTTTCCTACCACTGCTAGGTGAGTAAGCAGCCCTTCTAGTTAGGGCTGGGACGAAGTCCATTGGGTGCCACGGAGCCTCCCATGAATGAGTCACTCAGTACTTGTGCTGACTCACTGCCCCATGTCACTTCTGCACTCAAGGAAAGATTAGGGGAGATAGGGGTGTCCTTTGGGTGAGGGGAGGGGCCATCAAACACATTGAGTAACTATCAGGTAGTGAATGCTGATATTTAAAACAGTATCCCTTGGGTAGCAAGATGGCTCAGCAGGTAAAGATGTCTGGGGGACTTACTCTATAGAGGACACTGCCTGTGACCCCAGAAAATTCAGATTTCATAGGAACCTAGATTTGTAAGAGTCTGTCTTACACTCCAGGATTTTTTTTCCCTCAGTATTTCTATTGCAAAATACACTATCTTTCCAGTTTGTAAGAGTACAGTGGTGTTAGACACACCTGCAATGCTGTACAGCCATCACCCCCATCCATTACCATCATTTTGTGTCCGTACCATTCAGACAATTGCTCCCTATTTCTTCCCTTTACTCCAGGATTCTGTCCTCAAAGAAGTTTGGGAACCATTGTCTTTAGGGAGTTTGGGACCAGATGGATGTTTTATGGAAGTTTTCAGGGAAAAGAGGAGAGGGGATCAATTCCCAGCAGTGAGTGTGGGATGAGGCACAGTGTAACCCTGATTCTAGGGCAGGCTGGGAGGGAGAAAGCCAGTGGAGAGCAGATTCTTGGCTTGGCTGCTGCTTCCAAAAGGGCTTCTGCAGGGAGCCCAGCTGACCCTGTGTTCTTCCAGGTGGCTGCATTGATGACACCATCCTCAGCAGACAGGGCTTCATCAACTACGCCAAGCTGCCCAGCCTGGCCCTGCTGCAGGGGGAGCTGGTAGGAGGGCTTACGCTCCTCATGGCCCAGACCTGCTCCCTTCTTCAGCACCAACCTGTCCAGCTGACTGCCCTGTTAGATGAGCGTGTCAGACAGCAACATGAGGGAGACTCTGCCGGGTCAACTGGTGGGAAGCCAGGTCCTCCTGACCCTGCTCCGGATTCCTAGCTGACCTGTTTTACCCAGCTCTGCCCATAAATACTCTCTGCCTCTGTTGTCTGTGCTGTTGGTCACTCAGAGATCTGGAAGAATTTGAAGTGGGGGAGTGACATGTGTGACATGGCTTCAATTCCTGATGACCTCCTGAGGGGACAGGCCACTTGAAGATGCAGAGAAATTCCGTTTTCCAAGGAGTGCTGTCCATTATTTTTACTTTCGTTAACCACTCTCTTTGTCCTTAGTTGCCCCAACATGGAATCTGATAGGAATGGCCTCAGTTCTCAGAACAAGACAGAGGATGAAGATTGTCCTGTCCCAGCCTCCCTGTCCACTGTCCCTGCTCTGTTTTCCCAACCTTTCCCCTCAGTGATACATCCTGCCATGATGGACCAGTTGGGGAACTATGCTGTGAATGGCATCCACTGAGCCATGTGCCAAACTGTGCCAAACAGTACGGATGTTGACTCTTTTACCACGCTGTCCACAGAACAGGGAAGGGAGAGAAGTTTGAAGCCCTGGATAAGGCTGTGCAGTTAGTAGGTGGCAGAATAAGAGCTTTTGTTTCAAAGCACTGAATCTCCACACTGGAACTTCTTCATTGTTATCCAGCAGTGGGTCTAGGTGGACTCGGATGTTAATGCTCTGCCCTTGGGGTATGCTAGATTGTGGAAGGGATGGGAACACTGCTTTGTGATTAAATAAAATGTATTTTATGGACTCTTCTTCTTTTTGAGGGGGGGGAGTCTTTTTGAGACAGGGTCTCTCTGTAGCCCCAGCTGGCCTGGAACCCACTATGTAGACCAGGCTGGTCTTGAATTCACAGAGATCTGTCTGCCACTGCCTCCCAAGTGCTGGGACTACACACCCAGCCTGGACTTATTCTTTCCAAAGTTATTCTCTGGGTTACCTCAAGTTATCCGTAAACTGCTCACTTCCCTTCCTAGAAAATCTTCTTCCATAGGACCTGTCCTCACAGATAGCATGTCTTCATGCTCTTCTTTCCCACAGCCACTGATAGCTGTGCCCAGTAGCACAAACAACATCTGGGGGGAGAAGGGAGGGCTAGGATTCTCTGTTAATGAGAGCCCCCAAGGGCTGTAACAAGTCTCCCCCAAGTCTTGGGAAACCAGCACTGCCTAATGAAGGAGGTAAGATGCTTAGCTTGTGGCCTGCCATTGTCCTTGGCTGGAACACATCCTAGGTGGCTCCAGGGTGAATGGAGAGTGACTTCTCAGCATTCCTTCCCAGACTTGGAGCAATGCCTCAATATCCTTAGTCCTGGACAGACACTGGAAAATCTGCTGCAGCTATCCTGTGGCCTGGGCCTGGACCAACTTCCCACAGTACCCAAATCTGTGCAGATGCCCTGGGATGCTCAATCACTAGGAAGTGAATTAAAAGGCCCTTGAGGGATGCCAGAGCCTTTCTACCTAGTGCTGCTTGGTGGCTCTCCGGCCTCCAGAACCCCAACTAGTGCTGACCACAGCACCCCTCCTCTCCTGGGAGGCTAGAACCATGCTGAGGTTCTGAATGGAATCAGGACAGCAGGTATCTGAGATGCTGAAGTCCTTGGGAGTCTGACTCATGAATTCTGTGTGGGGAAAAGGTAGAGCAGAGGAGTGGCCCACATCATTCCTGGGGCCATAGAAGAATCTCACCAGCATCCTTCACCTGCTGGTGCCTGAGGCTCCACCATTTTAAAAAAGACATTTCTTTCCAGAAAACTGCTTTCTTGTACTTCACTCTGTCATTCTGTGCACATCCATTTGAATGAGTTTTAGATCTTTTTCAAGAGCTGACTTTTAGTAAATGAATTACAGTGCTCCAGCAATGGGTAAAGGTGTTTCAGAGGTTCAGGGGAGGGACTCCAAGATGGTTTTCCTTTTTAATAACTCTTCCATACCTGCTCCCAACCCAGACAGATTCGGTGCTCTGGGTTTTTAACCCCACTATGGCACTGACTTATCCCATGGTCAGGCCTGGTAGGGCATTGCTACCCTCTGGGGCTTTAGTTGTCCCTTTTGCCTCTAGTGCCCTGCTGACTAAGCTACTGGCACCATTCATTGTGTCCCAGTGGGGTGGGTGAGTACCTGTCTGTCCCTCCTCCTCAACCTGATATCTTTGCTGGTCCAAATTTTGCAGTCTATTTCAGATGTAAAATGAGAGGCTGGGTGAGTAAGGAAATGGCCTTGGGTGCTCCCTGGGGTCAAGGCCATGCAAGACAATAAATCCTTTACCTTCTTTGGCTTGAGGCCAGCAGCTTCTCAGTCCTCTAATCCATTTCCAACGATGTGATGCGTGGTGGGGACTGTGCCCCTCCATTCCCAAGTCGCTTGGTTCCACACAGCCCTTAGTCCTCCCGGGAGCAGGGGGGCAGAGCTGAGCGGCAGCCCGGAGGTTGGCGGGAGGAGACGACGGGGGAGGGGCAGGTGGGGAGATCCGGCTGGAGGGGAGGCTCTGTCTTCTTCCTTCCTGGTTCCTGCTGCAGCTGCTGCCACTGCTCAGCTCTGTGGTGAGGAGGTAGCTAGTGACTCGGAGACGGTGACTCAGAGGCGTAGCAGCGTGTAGACCAAGGAGCACTGGCGTCCATGGACCCTGGGGTAAGGGGGCTCGATCATATCACCTGACGCTCCTGAGGAGGGCTTCCTCCCCTGCAGAGTTGGTGGGTCTGCTTGTCAGGTGACGGGGCTGGGAATGGAGGTGACTGGGGGACACCCACCTGGCTCATCTCCACCTCTCCTTCCTACTGGCAGGCACCTCCCACCTCTGCTGCCTGCAAGTAGCGAGGGGCCAGGGTCCCAATGGCCAGGGCAAGGGCACAGAAATATACAGACAACAGAAGAGTTTGGGAACTTTCAATGACTGAATGCAGGAGTTTCCCCTTGGGTCAGCCTCTTGCAGCCTGGGCGCCTCTGTCTTGACCTCCCGACCACCCTTACACCGCCACATCCCTGTCTCCTCTGTGCCTCAACTCCTCAGGTGCTAGCTGCAGAAGATATGAGCTGCTTCCCCAGCCTCAGGGCAACCTTGCCCCTCCAGTCCCCTGCCCCTTACACACACACACACACACACACACACACACACACACACACACACACACACACACACAGACTTATGCATTATTGATCTGGTGGAGCCAGGATGGCCAGGGCCTGTGCTAAAGGCGCCTGTGGGCACTGTTACGGGACCTGGGCGGACCTCAGCATGTTCTTGGCCACCCCTTCCCGCCCACAGTGTCTCAACCAGCCAGTGTCCCACTCCTTCTAGGTGGGTGGTGCTTCTCAGGAGTGGAGAGAACTGGAATGGTAGAAAGGGGCTCACGGCCTTTGCAGGGAGGAGGGTCCCAAGTGGGAATCCTAGGGGTGAGTTTGATGGAAGGAGGCATGGGAAAACAGGGCTGGCCCCGGACAGAAAATGGGAGTCCAAGAACTAGCAGATAGATCGGGTCCAGTTGGAAGTTTTAGGGGTGCGCTGCAGGATGTTTGTGGCATGAGTTGCCAAGCCATGCAGGTAGGCAGAGAGCTCCTGGAGAAAAAGGCAGCTGGACTGAGGAACTCTGGCCTACCCAGTCTCTGAGTCCCTCTGCCTCTTCCTGGCTCTTCCCTCTTCCCTCCCCAGCCTTATCTCTGACCCCCCAGGGGATCCTCCCAAGGAAGCACTGAGTGTTTGCAATAGTCCTAGGGTGTGTGTCCAAGGTGAATCACACTATCTCCTGGGCACATTTTGCCAGCAGTGGCCACAGTGGAAGGGGTGGGTGTTGCCCAGGCCCAGGCTGCCATCAGGACATACTGGGGAGTGGGACAGCAGGTGTATGGAGGATGTGTATCCTGGTGAGGAGTGACCAGAGGTGGGAAATGTGATAGCACAGTTGTGCTCATGGGTCTCTCTTGCTTCAAGGGCCCCCTCAGGACCAGGTGACATTCTTCCCCTTGCACCCTGCTCTATCCTCCTCATCAAGGAGTGGACTCTCCTTCCTCATGGACTTCCAAGAGAGAGACACTCCCTCCCTGACTGAGAGCACTCAGTCTTCAAAGCCAAGCAGTACCCAACAGGTCTGAGTGGAAAAGTGGTGATGGGTGGGCCTAGCTTGGGTTCCAGGGGGATGAGATGAGGTAGTGGGCTCACCAACTGCTGCCCTTCCTCTACCCTGGACTGTAGGCCTCTGAGCTGTGGGAGGTGGTGGAGGAGCCTCGGGGCAGGCTGGGAGCAGAAGGCATCATGCCTGAGAGACAGGAAGGCCACCTGCTCAAGAAGAGGAAGTGGCCTCTTAAGGGCTGGCACAAGGTAGGGGGTGTGGGGGCGGGGCAGGGGAGGAGCCATGAGAGGGAGGCTGCTGGACAGCCCTAGCACTTGTGTGGAGAAGAAAAAAGTATTGTTTGCTCTCTTCCCACCCCCTGTCTTTTCGGCTGCCTGGTCCTGTCCATCCTGGGCAACATCACAGAGGTACTTTGTGCTTGAGGATGGGATCCTTCACTATGCCACCACCCGACAAGATGTGAGTTAGGGCCCTGGCTTGGCAGTGTGGGAGGAGTTTACCCCAAATGTTTTGAGCAGGCAGGGGAAATCTGGAATCAACCAGAGCAGGGTCTGAATCGCAGGTCCAACTTTCAGCAACCTCTGGGCAAGTTATAGTTGGCCTTCTGTATTCTCAGGTTCCACATCCGCAGATTCAACCAACTGCAGATTAAATATAAACAACTATTCCCATAGCATCACATAGTATTATTTATTGGATGTCATCTAGACATGGCTAAAGGGCACAGAGGATATATATATATATATAGGTTGTGTACAAATACTGCACTTTAAGCCGGGTGTGGTAGTACACACCTTTAATCCTAGCACTTGGGAGGCAGAAGCAGGTGGATCTCTGTGAGTTCAAGGCCAGCCTGGTCTACAAAACAAGTTCTAGGTCAGCTGGGGCTACAGGGAGACCTTGTCTCAAAAAGAACAAGAACAAAAATCCAAATAGTGTATCTTTTAATATTAGACTTGAGCATTTGTGCATTTCGATATCTTTAGTGGTTCCTGGAACTGTTCCCCCAAGGATACCAAAGGACAACTGTGCTTTCCTGGTTTTCAGCCTTTACCTGCTAGCAGGGTGAGGGGGGCGTACCTAGCCATGTAGAGTTATCTGATGTCTGGTATAAACTAAGTGCTCAAGAAATGAGAGCTTTATTACCCTTGTCCTAGTGCTAGGAGCCAAAAACAAGGCTAGACTTCCATGTTCCTTTCAGGAGGTTTTCCTTCTCCACTATGTTTGGTGACTTCTCAGACCTTTGGATGTGGTTAGACATAGTGTAGTATTCTGTGAATGGGAGTAACTGACAAGCCCCTTCATATATGACTTGGATCTAAGGGTACCTCGCTCTTGAGTCTTCAGTGCCCTCAAGGAGATTGTGACTCTATAGTCCTTGGAGTCTAAAACAAGACTCTTGTCCCCCACCAACCCTCTATGCCAGATCACCAAAGGGAAGCTTCATGGCTCCATTGATGTCAGACTGTCAGTCATGTCCATCAACAAAAAGGCCCAGCGCATTGACCTTGACACAGAAGACAACATCTACCACCTCAAGGTGACATCCCTGGTAGTAGGGAGTGTTCTAACATCACTAGCCTGGCAGAGGCACAGGCATAGGGGCTGGGGGTCTGTGGGGCTCAAGGTCTTCTCTGAGTTTGACGTTAAGAAAGTTTCCATTGTGTGAAACAGCCAGGAATCTGCCTTGTTACATGAACAGATGCAGAGCTAGGGGCTCTGATACTTGGGATGTCATACTCTGCCTGTCTGCAAGGGAGCTTTGCACAAGTTGGGTGCTATAGGGAAAGACCCTGCTTGCCTGGGAATCAGAGACCCAACTTTCTGCTCCTGGAAAGCAGTCCTTCCCCTTCATGTCTCTCTCCCTCCTTTTTGCAGATCAAATCCCAGGACCTGTTCCAAAGCTGGGTGACCCAGCTGCGTGCCCACCGGTTGGCTCAGCGCCTAGATATGCCCAGTGCCACTCATCGGAAGGTAAGATGGGTCCAGGAGTGTGGGCAGATGAAAAGGCAATACAGGGATGGAAGCTGGGGGGGACTGAGGCCAGGAAGCTGGGCACCATTCTCCCTGACGCTTGGCTCACTCCACAGGTTCCTGGTACCCAGCTTCTAACAGCGGGTGGCGCCTCAGCCTTACCTGGAGTTGGACCTCGAGAGAAGGTGTCATCCTGGCTGAGGGACAGTGATGGGCTAGACCGCTGCTCTCATGGTGAGAGTCTCTGGCCCAGGTCCCATGCTGTCAGATCTAGATGGCCACAGCAGGAAGGGGAAATGTTACCTTCATCCCTGCCACAGAGAACCCCCTTCTGCTGGGGGAGGCTGCCTCTGCTTCCAAGATGATCAAATCTTAGTGGACTCTGCCCTGAGGAACCCTCACTTACAGAAGATGGTAGGGCTCATACCCTAGGCACATTGTGGGCACGAGTCCAGCTTGATGCCAGTACAGTAAGATTCCTGAGTAGTGGCAGAGAAAGGCTGTGCCCTAGAATTGTGTTCCTGCAGTAGAAGACCAGAGAAGGTAGGGCACATGGGTAAGGAGTGACGATGAGAGCACCCAGCCTGTGCACAGACAGAAGTGAGCAGTAGTCTGTGGACAGGGCGGAGATGGATAGCTGACCCTCAAGAAACCAGAAGAGGACCTACCAGAGGACAGCTTTGAGCTCCTGAACAGGAATGGGGAGTAGTGTCAGGCTGTCCCTAGCTACCAGCCATGTCTTAGAGGATGAAGGAAGAGAGGGGATAAGCTAGGGACCCCAGCACCACTGAGAGAGCTATGCCCTCCTTCCTTTCTCCCTTAGCACTCTCTGAATGCCAGGGTAAGCTCCAGGAACTACACAGACTCCTGCAGAGCCTGGAGTCCCTACACAGAATCCCTTCGGCCCCTGTGATCCCCACACACCAGGTAAGGGCCAGGGGAAGGGGCAGGGGCTGCTCAGGACCCCTTATCTCTCCATCACTTCCTGGAATAGGCCCTCCTGCCTCTGCATCACCTGCAGAGCCACACACCTGCCTAGCTGCCTTTTCCTGTGTCCAGTGGCCTCTTCACTGCCTCTCTGCTCCCTCCTTTTGCCCGAGGGCCTGCCAGCATGTCACACCCTTGTACATGGGTGATCTGTGCTCTTCCCCATGGCTACTCCCCACCCTGTGAGTGAAACTGCTCCTTCTCAACTTTCCAGGCCTCAGTGACAACCGAGAGACCCAAGAAGGGGAAACGAACCAGCCGCATATGGTGCACACAGGGTTTTGCCAAGGATGATACCATTGGACGGGTGAGGTGGGGTGTGAACCCGAAGTGGCAGGGGCATGATGTCCTGAAGGAAGCTGTCCCTTTACCCTTTCTTTTCACCAATAGGTTGGTCGTCTCCATGGCTCTGTTCCCAACCTGTCTCGCTACCTGGAGTCTCGGGATTCTTCAGGTCCCCGTGGGCTTCCACCTCCAGACTATGCCCATTTACAGCGCAGTTTTTGGGCCCTAGCCCAGAAGGGTGAGTACACGCTGGGTGGTGGCTAGGACTGGATCCAAGGGGTCAGGAAGAAGTAAGGGGTCTGATGGCTCTGTCCTGTCCCTGGCAGTGCACAACTCCCTTAGCAGTGTCCTGGCTGCCCTCACCATAGAACGGGATCGACTGAGAGACCTACACCAGGGTTCAGAACTGTCAAGGATGGGGGTGAGCCTCAGGGGCCAGGGCAGCTGGTCAGAGGGAGGACTTGAGGATGAGGACTACAGGTCCCACAACAGGTCTGCACCAGGGCTTTGGGGTTGACAGAGGTTGTCCTTGGGGTGGTGGTGGGGGGGTGGCAGATAGGGAGGACCTCACCTTCCTGCACCTAGTCCCCAAACTCTCTGCCTTAGGTCTCTGAGGCCCCAGATGGGCAGCAGCGCCTCCACTCACTGTCCATCTCCTCAGACACCACTGCAGACTCCTTCAGTTCCCTCAACCCGGAGGAGGTGAGGAGCCAGCATGGGCTGTGGTGGCCATTTCCCCAATGCGTTCTTGCCCAGAAAATATGGGGGCTGGGGTGGGAGACAGGGTTGGTTTTTAATCTAGAAACAGGTTGTACCTACTCCCTCTGAGGGGTAGGAGGGATCCAGCTTCTCTTTCACATGTCACACAGCTCTCTTGATTAATTCTTACAGCTGCAGAGAGGATGCATGTGCTGTTTTGTTTTGTTTGCAGTGCTGGGGCTTGAACCTAGAGTCTTACTCATACTAGACAAGTAGTCTACCACTGAGCCACATCTCCAGCCCCTGAGAGCTCTGACTCTTAATTCAGAGGCCATGAAGCAGGGGTTCTTACCCTCTACCAGGCATGTCCAACTGTTTAATATTACAATATGACATTGTCTCTGTTGATTTTGAGACTATGTAGCCCCAGCTGGCTTGGAACTCACAGAGATCCTCCTGCCTCTGCCTCCTAAATGCTGGGATTAAAGGTGTGCATCACCACACCTGGCACAACAGGACTTTGTCCTTTACAAAGTTTATAATCAAGAACCATAGCCAAAAAATATTGCAAACAAACAAAATCATAATGCTTTAAGTAAGTTTACAATTTTGTGTGATATTCATAGTTATTCTTGACTACATGTAGCTACCCTAAAACTAAAACTCAAAGAATCTAACCAGTGGGCTTATGCTCCCACACTTGTAGTCAGATTGAATCAGGGTCTGAATGTGGCACCCCTGCATGCCAGCTTTACGTCCTGAGCCTCAGGGTTCTATTCCGAAACTCACCTCTCCATGGGGTGAATGGGTCAATACAGGAAAGGGTATGGAGCCAGGCCCCTTTGGTGCCCAGTGTTGACGGCACCTACTGCCTCCTCTCAGTTATTTCCCTATACCTTGACCTCTCTCCTCAGCTACTTCTGTTGGGCAGGAGTCAGGCTCAGTGAAAATACCTGGTAGGGGGCACATAGAGCTTCCTTCCCCAGTGGCCTCTGAGGCCTCACACCCATCTGGTTCCCACAGCAAGAAGCTCTGTACATGAAAGGCCGAGAGTTGACCCCCCAGATGTCCCAGAGCAGTGTGCTGTCCCTTGCTGATTCCCATACAGAGTTCTTCGATGCCTGCGAGGTTCTGCTTTCTGCCAGCTCTTCAGAGAATGAGGTGAGGGAGGAGGAAGCCAGAGGGGAGGGACCTGGGGAAGATTCAGGGGCATCCAGAGAGACTAGACTCTTCAGATTCCTTTCTTGTCTCCTCAGCAGCTGCCTCTAGGAACACACACACATCTGTTGGATTTGTGTGATTCTGTCCCAAAACCTCTGCTTGGAGACTCATCTCCCAGCTTGACTTGTTTTACCCAGTTGTGTCCTCTGAAACTGCGTCCTCAAGTCCAGCGCTTGTCATCTTCCCATGACCCCGTTTCAGCATTAGTGCTCCCTCCACCACATCTCCCCAAACCCAGTAGCTCTCAACTTCCTTTCTGTTTGTGTCCTGCCAAGTTCCCAAGTTCTTTCTAGCAGGCCTATCTGGGTAGTATCTTAGGGCTCACAGCCCTCCTCCTCTAATATTTTCTCTTCCCATCAAAGGGCTAGCTGATCATATTCTGGCCAGGTCCTGGGCACTGCCCAGATGCCTGGAGGAAGCTCATTTCACTCCTCCCATTATCTGTCCCTACCCAGGGCTCAGAGGAAGAGGAGTCATGCACCAGTGAGATCACTACCAGCCTGTCTGAGGAGGTGCTGGACCTCAGGGGAGCTGAGTGCTGTCAGAAAGGTGCCAGTGGGCAAGTGGGCAGTGGGACAAGGGTGTGTCTGTATGTGTCTGTGTGTGTGTGTATAGAGAAGCTGTTCACCCATGGCCCAGGTCCCATGTAGAGGCAGTTCCTTGTGACAGGTGGGCTAATGGCTTTGGGTACTGATCCCAGAGTTGACCTTGGAACCATGCACAGGAGACCATTTTGGGAGCAGCTGAGGGTGAGGGATAGACCAGACTGGGAATTGGTGCTGGCTTTTGTTGCAACAAGCTGGGAGGGCTTTTATAGGGCATGGGAGACAGTTCCACTTAGGCACATTTTGGCTGAGTAGCTTTGGGCCTATCATTTTACTTTTTTGGAGTCTATGTCCTCTTCTATAAAAAGGACTGAGGGCTGGAGTTGTGACTCAGTTGGTAGAGCACTTGCCTAGCATGCACAAATGCCTGGGTTTGATCCCTAACACTGCATAAACTGGTGGTGCAGGCCTATAATCCCAGCACTTGGGAGGTGGAGGCAGAAGGATCAAGGTCATTCTCAGCTATATAGTGAGTTTAAGTTCCAGGCCAGCCTGGGCTACATGAGACCCTTTTCCCCCCAGAAAGTGGGAAAGAGAGTGAAAATCTGCATTCTAGCATCTATTCTGTTCATAAGGGACAGAGGCAAGTGTGGGACCCAGGCCCCGCTGCTGAACACTTGTGCCTGGCAGTGGTTTTCACCCCTGCTGCCCACCTAAATCTCCAGGAGCTCATCAGCAGTCATCCCAGTCACCTCCCACAGTGGGCAGGGCTTGAATGCCTCAGGCTGTCAGGAGGCTGCCCCATTGCCGAATGACCTGTGGGCCTGGCATATCTGGAATAGCAGGGACGAGGGAGAGGGAGAGTGACATGGCTGGGGTTGGCCCAGGGGGGTGTGTTCCAGGGAGAGCTGTAGGGCCTCCTCGCCGCCGCTGCCTGCCAGCTGCCAGCGGACCCGGGACTGACGTGAGCCTGTGGAACATACTGCGCAACAACATCGGCAAAGACCTGTCCAAGGTGTCGATGCCGGTGCAGCTCAACGAGCCTCTCAACACCTTGCAGCGACTCTGTGAGGAGCTGGAATACAGCAGCCTCCTGGACCAGGCCAGCCGCATGGCCGACCCCTGCGAGCGCATGGTACCTGCCCAGGGCCACCCATTCCTCCTCGGTGCTCTGTCTCCCCAAATCCTGGATGCATGGGTTCTTGCTGTCAAAGTTCCTCATCAAAACCCTTGACTCTGCATGTGGTGGGCTGGTGTCTCCTGTCCCCGGCTTCTTCTCAGCTCCCTGACCCTGTGACCTCCTCCCCCGCCTTCCCACAGGTGTACATAGCAGCCTTTGCTGTCTCCGCCTACTCCTCTACGTACCACCGAGCAGGCTGCAAGCCCTTCAACCCGGTCCTGGGTGAGACCTACGAGTGTGAGCGGCCTGACCGGGGCTTCCGGTTCATCAGTGAGCAGGTGTGGGCCCCAAGGTGGGAGGGCTGTTTTCTGTGCTAGGGTAGGGGAAGACCTGGGCTTCCAGAAAGTGGGCCAGTGGGATCAGGGCTTGGAGAACAGGGAGGGGTGGTCCTGTGCCGGGGACTGAGGCACATGGTGATGGGGTAGGGCTCTGCTCCAAGGAGTTCTGCCCTCCATGTGAGAGGCAAGTGAAACAGGCCTCAAGGAGATCCTGGAAATGACACCCTAAAGTGTGATGTAGAGGGTGACATTGAGCTAGATCTTGAAGGATGAATTGGAGTGAGTCTATTAAGGAGCTGGGAGATGCATAGGTTTCGGATGTGTGAAGGATCAGGGGAACATGTTCAGGGAGGTTAGCGATGGGGCTGAAAGAGGGAAGGCTAAGCCCCTGAGACCTGTAGGTGAAGGTGAAGTGTCCTAGGGTTTTTGTTTTTAAATCCTGAAGGCAGTGGGAGGCATGGGGGATTGGAAGCAGATGTGACGTGCTCGTAGTTGCACTCTGTACAGAACACTAGGGCAGTGGTGTGCACCGGGTGGTGGAGGCCATTAACAGGCTATTAAAGTCATTGGCCTAAGAGCTTAGGGCTGAGGACAACCTGTACTTAGCCTGCAGCATGCTGAAATCAAAAGCTTTGTATTGCTACCTTTGACAGAACTCAGCAGCCAGTTGGCTAGAAAGGCACATGGGCGGGGCCCTGTGCTAGACACCATGGTCCATGGTGGGGTGAAGGGCTCTGCTCCATGGAGCTGCCAGCTCCATGTGGGCAGTAGACTGGAACAGGTCTAGAGAGGAGTCTGGCAGTGTTGGAGAATAGGGAGGTGGCTGGTGAGCTGGGTAGAAAGGCTGGGGTAACTTTTGTTTCTAGTTTCCTGTCTCTAAGGGAGTTAGTACATGTGTGGAGGTGCCAGTTAGCAAGATGGAGAGTGGAAGAGAAAAAAGAAGTTAGTGGAACTTGTTGTCCACAGAGGTGGGACTTCCTCAGGGAGAGGTCATGTTGGCTCTGAAGCCAGTGGATTTGGAGCTGGGAAGAGGCCTCAGGTCATTGAGTCCCCAGTTTAGAAGGTAGGAGAAGTCAGGACTCCTGTGGGGTGTGTCAGAAGGGAAGGTGTTCCATGGGACCTGTGAAGTCAGTGGCTTCTTGAGTGAAGGACAGAAGGACAGGGTATAGAGCATGTAAGAGGTGTGTCCAACTGGTGGCCCACGGGCCCAAGACAGCTCTGAATGCAGCCTCGCTTATTTGTAGATAACAAATCATATTGTCACACCAAAAGATTGGACACGCCGGTCGTGGTGGCGCACGCCTTTAATCCCAGCACTTGGGAGGCAGATCTCTGTGAGTTCGAGGCCAGCCTGGTCTACATAGTGAGTTCCAGGACAGCTGGGGCTACAGGGAGACCCTGTCTCCAAAAGACCAAAAAAAAAAAAAAAAAATACAACCCAAAAGAAAAAGATTGGACACGCTGATAGAATGAAAGCTAAGAAACAATAACAATAAAAACTAGGGAAAGCATCATTAAGGTGGCTCAACAGGTAAGGGTGCTTGCCACTAAACCTGATGACCTGAGTTTGATCCCCATGACCCACACGATGGAAGGAAAGAGCCAACTCTTGCCAAGTTGTTCTCTGACCTTCATATGCATGCCATGGTGAGCATATGTGCACACAAATACACACACATACAATAAATGAATAGATTTATATATATATATATATATATATATATATATATATATATAAAATATATATATATAGAGAGACAATATTGTAGCCCCCGCGCGCCCGG